ATTCCTGTGCTATATACTATGTATCTGAAATACAATTAGGAAGAAACAAACTAACTTCAAATGTTACAAAAAACTAAAGGCCCAATCTCAAGGTTGCTAATAATATTTACTTATTTTATGTTCTACTTTTAAATTAAATTGCCTTTTAAAGAGGTCAAATGACTACAAAATGGGCACATTCTTATTTTATATATCTGCCTAACTGAAAACTAATTTTTAATCACAGATGACAGTATGTAATTGTTAATCACAGGCCCAGGTAGCTAGGTTTTTACTTATTTTACTGGATTTAGAGAAGAATTTTGTCATTTCTTTCCATTTAAAACATTTACTACCTATTCCTGAATATTAAAATATCTTCCATATTAAATCCTTAAAAGTATTTGAAGCACTACTGTGTATTACTTTAAGGATAAAACAGCTACCCTATTTAGGTTTTGTAGACTTACTAAAAACCAGATTTTCAGCTCCCAAAGAAGCAATGGTATAGAAAACAAAATGCCACATACTTTTTGGATCCAACTTATAATAACAAAAGAAGGGGGGAGGGACATTACCAAATATGACTCAATGTAGGCTCTACAGACTGAAATTTGCAAAGCCAAAGTAAAGAAGGTGAAAGAACATGTTTAAAAAAAAAACAAAAAAACAAACAAACACAAACACACATATACAGTAACAAAAACCTTTCTGCATGCTACCATGCATTTGAAATTTTTTGAACCGGTATTTATAAATTCGCGCGCACACAGCTCAAACTTCAGTGCAATGGCTGTTATCGTTCAACACCTTTAGAGAATAGAACCATGCAAAGAGGAGCAACTGCTTATAAAAACGATTATTCAGTATTTATTCTGCAATGCAAAGGTGACAAACTAAAATATAAAAAAGGTTGTTATGGCTTAACGTTTTTGTTGCAGATTAAATATGCAGCATTGAAAATGGAAAGGTGTGGCTTCATCTCTGACCAGCAGAGTTAAAAAGAAAAATCTCTCCATTTTCCTTCATCATCATGGGATACACTGTTCAGGCAATCCAAATTAATAAAGACTTGCACTTTCAAATGGACACAAAATCAAGTGTACCAGTTAGGTTTTCACATTCACAGTATATAAGAAAATACACATGGAAGGAAAAGTAAAGGGTTAACTTAACAAGGATTTATTCACAGGAATACATGTAAGTAGAGAAAAACAACAGAAAAGCTAAACAAATGAAATGAAGAGGATCCAAACCAACTTTCACTCTGTAGCTTTTAACTTGCACCCTGTGTGCATATATCTAGGGCACAGAGGGCCACCAACATGCGCCAATACAGTGTAGGAACCCTGCATTACATCCACTAACTTAAACGTATCTTTAAGATCATGCTTTGAACAGAAAAAGAAAGCTTAGAAGGCAATATGTTGAGTGGGAATAAACACTGAAATATAGCAATCATGTCTTCAACTTCTACAATTGTCTTTATGTGCCAACTAACATTTATGCAGCCTTTTACAGATCTTTTACCATGTAATTTAAGTTTCAGAAGTTTTGATAAAATCACTAGTAGTATATAACCATGCAGAAAGCACATCACACTGACAGCACGGAGGCAAAGATTTTGCACAGGTATATCAGCTTTCCACATTGTGCAGGTTACACACAATACAATATCAATCTTATTCCTAACAGATCCTAAAAAGATATTTCAAGGCCTAGCTGTAAACTACAGTACTTTATATCTATACTCTTAATAAAAATAAAATCCACAAATCTTAAAAAGGAATTTTAAATGCAGGGCTATATTGAATTGGTAAACTGCAACACAAACTGGCGCAACATAGGTAAATGAATACCAATCTCACTCTATGTGATGCAAGCATGCTACTTTCCCACTAATTTAAATTACTTTCAATCACTATGAGCCAGAATGCATGCCTGAACCTTAAACTGCACATTAAAAATAATCTCTTGGCCTAGAAATTAAATCTAATAAAGTACAACCATCAAATTATATCCACTACATTAATGTTTTAATGTAAATTAAGATGTCAATCTTTAGTCTGATATGCTCAACCCCATTTATTCCTTCCTCCCTCCCTGCCCACCCCACAAACGTAAAGGAGTGACTCATTTGGCATTTCACGGGGTGCTTCATTGTTTAAATTTGTTTCATTTTATTTCCAACTTTTTCTGGGGTACCTTAAATTGTAACTTCCAAGAACCTACTTCTATTACCGGTAGGCAAGCTGATTTTAACTCTATTAGCTTCATTTGTGTAGTTCTTCATCAGCATGCAAACAAGGCCCCATCATGTGGGAAACTTATATAAAAACCTTTAAAAAAAAAAAAAAAAAAAAAAGCTTTTCTGTTTATAACCCCCATTCTTAGGTTTCCTTTATTGTGAGCTATAGAATTTATCCTCTTTCTTAACCCTACGCATCATTTGTATGGTTCTTGTTTTGGTACAATTCCCCATAATATTCCAGAATGTACTGTTTTGTGAGTAGACTGAATATTTTTTTTGCTTCTTCACATCCAGTGCGGAGTTGTAATTGGAGACAGATTTCCACCCACAAAGGCTCCAGATGTTAAAACGTTTCCCAACATCGACTTAATACAGTGACGGCAACACCTCCCTCCCGCCCCTCCCAGTAGGGTTGGGATTGTACTGTATTCCCTACTGGTTTACCCTTCCCCCCTGTAAAGGGTAACATTTTCCCTGGGTGCAGAGGCTCCCTCATAGTCTCCAAGACTGAAGGACCTGTAAAAACAAAAAAAAAAAACAATTTTACATTTTAACGACTGTTTTTCTGTCTAGCCAATGGAATGCAAAATTAGTCAAGTAATAATGCTATTTCTATCTATAAAGAAAAACAGAAATTAGACAACTTGCCTAAGATCACGCTAGCCAATTATAATCAAGTTGCTTCCTTCTCCTATGGCTGTGAATTACCACCTGCATCAGACATGAAAAGTGAGGGGCACGCTGGGGACAAGCACAGAGCAGTATATAGATGAAATGTGCCTTACAGGATGCTATCAGTCTCATTCTTCTTTATCACTCCTTTTGCACAATGGGCTCCACAGGAACCGCTTATTTTTCTTTTACTTCCAAGGTCACCTTATTTCCTTCAAAATTAAATAGTATCTTTTTTTTTTTTTTTTTTAAGGACAATCACTTTCTTTACTGAGAGTTAAACATCATTTTTCCCAGTATTCCCAATAAACCAATCCATCAAATAACAAAGGAGCATTAGTTACTTTTGCTTCTCTCATATTTTAGTCTAGAAGGCACTAAAAGCACTCATTACCAACTAGGATCACTATACTCAGCAAACAGGAAAAGCAACGCTTAACCTCTGTCTTCTTCAATGTTCCTAATTAATAATTCTTCTGACTCTACTTTTAGCTGGTCATTTCTACACTCTTAGGTCACTTGATTTTCCTGATAAGGACTTTTTTTCAGTGTTAACAGTTTTAATGATGAGAAGGACACTAGGATATAAAGGTAGGTTACTGGGAGATGCTTAACTACTACCTGACAATGGTCCTTGCACAAAACTCGACTTAATACCCACACATGCCAAACTTCAGGAATTAATGAAAGCTCATGTGAATTGAGACAGCAATTAAGTCCATCTTTAGGGAGGTACAAGCAAACCCTTTTCTTTTTCCTCTGAAAAAGGGAAGAGTGCAAAAGGGCAGGAATAAAAGTTATGTATCCACTTGTATCTCTAATTCTAAAACTGAGAATTCTTTCATGCCTTATAAGCAGTGGTTACTACAGTTAATTCATAACTGGTGATATGATAAAGACCACAGACTGTAATAAATCTGAAAGTGCTCAAGACTTAGCTCACTGTTGAACCTTTCAGCCCCATAAACCCAAAGTCATTTTCATTTACTGCATTCTCATGATTTAACACAAAGGGAATCAAGCACTTTTCCAAAATGCTAAAGCCATAAAACAGCTCTCAGGACTCAAGGCCAAAGTGGGACAACATACACAAAAGGCTCTGAGACATTCCAAAGGTTATAACCCATTTCTATTGCCTTCTAGGTAAGACAACTGAAACGTTGAAATCTTTCAAGGTTTAAAAATTAGCTCAGACTCCTGGAGTCTTAAAAGCCTGTGAGCAACCATCAAAGATACTCCACTGGTCTCACCCCTTCCGGAGTAAGGGAGAATGAAGAGAACAGGATACAAGGAAAAGATCAGTCCAAAGGACTAATGGACCACAGCTACCAAGGCCTCCACCAGACTGAATCCAGTACAACTAGATGGTGCCCGGCTACCACCACTGACTGCTGACTGGGATCACAACAGAGGGTCCTGGACAGAGATGGAGAAGGATACAGAACAAAATCCTAACACACAAAAAAAGTCTGACAAAGACTAGAGAAACCCCAAGAGTATGGCTTCTGGACACCCTTTTAGCTCAGTGGTGAAGTCACTCCTGAGGTTCACCGTTTAGCCAGGGATTGGACAGCCCCATAATACAAATTGGGACTAATGAGGCACAGCAGTCCAGGGACAAGGACTAGAAGGCAGGAAGGCACAGGAAAGCTGGTGATAGCGAACCCAAGGTTCAGAAAGGACAGTGTTGACTTGCAGGGTTTTTAACCACTGTCATAAGGCAATATGTGTACCAACTGTTTAATTAGCAACTATTTTGTTCTGTAAACCTTCATCTGAAAGTACAAAAAAGAAAAGAATTATCTATGTGAGATCAAACTGACAGCAGCAACTCAAAAGGTTTGATGGGAAGCCTAGGGAACAGAGTTGAAGACAATGGTGATGGAATAATTTGGAAAAGGATAGTGAGAATAGTAGCACAACTGGAAGAACGTAATTGATGTCACTGAATTGTACATGTAGAAATTTCTGAAATGGTGTAACTTTGGCTATGTATATTTTCACCCCCCCCCAACAAAAAAGGTCCCCCAAGGTCGAGAATGGAGAATGTTGACATGTCGTCGGGTTGTTAACCAACGTCATAAAACAATACGTGCACTGACTGTTTAATGAGAAACTATTTGTTCCGTAAACCTTCACCTAAAGTACAATAAAAAAAAAACTAGCTCAGAGTAAGCAAGTATACAAGCAAGCAAACAAATAAAAACTCCAATTTAACATAAAGGGTAATTCAATTTGTTGTACACCCTCTATTTCTTTGGTCAAACATTTCTCAATTCATGTTTAAAACCTAAAGGATGTCAAAACCCTGGTTCAGAGTACCTGGCCTTATGTTGCTAACATTTACTGAACTTATTGTGTGCTAGGCAATATACTAAGTTCTGGCATCGCATATACTATAGTATTTAATCCTCACGATAACGCAATGAGGGAACTGCAGCTAAGAGAACAGAATTGTTAGTCCCGCGTAACAACTACAGAAAAACGCAAGGAACAAGAGCACAAGCGGACTTATTAAAATTAAAACAGAATCTTCCATTATCCATTTAAAAACATAGTGCTGGGCACACTGTAGGTGCTCAATCATTAATATTTGTTGAAAAATAAATGTTAAATATTCTTATCTACTGAGGCAAAACCCAGTTGCAATTCTATTTAGGTTTTTCCTCAAGCTCAAAGCATAGAAAGCCCTTTATATATCAGAGACTATAAATTCATGAACCATTTTTACCCCACCTCTGTGAATGCTGGTGTCCTCTAGCAGATGCAATGTTGAGAAATCCAACCAAAGTACCACTTGGATTTCTTTCTTCCTTAAGATTCAGAAGTGGAGCCATTCATTTTATTTTGCTTGCTGGTTCTTTACAAAAATTCTCTAGCCTTCATTTAAGTAATTTTAGTCTTAAAGTCTAATACAGCACAACATGAGACTATGTTTTATTTAACTGTTGGGTTCAACCACTGTAGAAAATAAATACCTTTTATTCGATTTAGTAGTTTTTACACTGCAGCTCTAAATAAAAACTTCTTGTAACTTACCCCTAATTATGGGACTGCAGCTTAAGTGTGTAAGATTAAACACCATAAAAAGCTGCAAGACGCTCTTTTAAGGGAAGAGGAAACTGGTCAGAGAAACGCCTCCAATTTTCATCCCCAACTTGATTTTTAAATCCATGAAGGATCTGCAAAGAGTAAAAAACCATTAGTTAATTAGTAACAAAAGAGAAAACTTTATCCATTTTAAAGCAGTTACTCTCAAATTTTGTTGGATTCTACACCAGTGCCAATAGTGACTAAAAGCAACTCCTAGCATATACTGAACTCTACTTTGAAAAGTTTAGAATTCAGAAAGTGTCGTAGTAACAGATGTACTTTCAACAATTTCTGACATCATACTCAGGAGAAACAAACACAAAAGGTACAGAATTCATCCAAGGGATAAAATTTTTATGTCATGTAAAACTTTTTCTAATGGTAAATATACAAGCTTTAGGCTCATGACTGCAACTGTAATTCATTAGTTTTAATGGAGAGTCAAACGTGTAACAGCATTTTATTTACTGTTATGGTTGACTACTGACTGGAGTTAATTAACTCGGGGCACCAACAAAGCAAAGAACTATATAGGCTTAATCCCAGGGGAGGCCATAAAGATTTCCTCTGTTCAACAATTTCAGGGTATACTCTGAATCTCAGTCAGCCATATTGGAAAATACATGCTATTGTACATAAGTGGGATAATAAGACAATATGAATTAGTGGTATTGCTTGGGAAAACATTTTTAAAGTGTATGGTCTACTGATACAAAGTCACTGCTGTATCTTAAGAAAAGATCAGTCCAATTTCTTTACCAAGAACAAAGCTAATACACATTTTGTATTGATTTGAAGAGCCTACGTTGCATATAAAATATAAAAACAATTAAAACCTTCCAACGAGGATTATAACAGTCCCAAAATAATGCACTGGAGCCCTGGTGGCACAGTGTTTAAGGGCTTGGCTGCTAAATGCAAGCTTGGTGGTTCAAATCCACCAGCCGCTCTGCAGGAGAAAAGATGTGGCAGTTTGCTTCTGTCAAGATTTATAGCCTTGGAAACCCTATGGGGCAGGGCAGTTCTACTCTGTCCTATAGGGTCACTATGAGTTGAAACCGACTCAGTGGCAATGGGGTTAAATGATGCATTATAATTAGTTACCTTACAGAACATGTCTCTGAGATCATCTTTTGGGCTAATCCATGATGCAACAGCATCACAAAAAAATATAAAATCCTGTAACAAGAAATACATCTTAGAGAAATATTGTATTTGTCAAAGACAGCAAAAAGACATATATGAGCCTTAGGATTTATGTGATGATAGAATCTTAGCTAAAAAATGAATACATTTAAAATCGACTATGATCGTAAGGGATTAAAATGATTATTTAACTACTTAACAGTTGTCCTTATCATCCCACTATCAAGAAACCCCCATTCATTCAGTTTATATTGGGAGCTTTAATGTTATTTTATTTGTACATCACAAAACTCTAGGCCAGTAAATGTTCAGCACCAGCAATGGACTGAAAGCACTAAATCAGCACCAATTTAAATAAAAACAACAAACCTTCATTTACTGAATTAAAAAACTATATAAATTTAATTAACTTCATAGTTCTGACAGGCCTGAAAATATTTTAAAGCCAGCTTAGTATATACCAACTATGCTTGACCTGAAGTATAGAAATTAATAGATCTAAATTTCAAAACCCATCCTTAGACAGAAACTCAAATGAAATGATGAAAAGCTAGAAGAAAAATTAATTATGCAATTACAAACAACACTAAATCCAACTCAACACAACCAAAACCACAACAAAAAAAGATAATCAGATTATTCTGACTACAAGAACAAGGTGACAACAGGTATATGTTTTATTTCATAAAAATATTTTTCTCAACCTTGAGTATCATACTGAAGCATCAACAGTGGAACATAAGAACATTCAAGATATTGCTGTTTCAACATGTTAACTATTTTAAATATTACTATTAAATTCAGAGAACATCCATCACTTCAAAATTTACTAACACTAAAGTATATGTATAAAATACTTCTATTTAAGCAAATGAAATGCCACTTGCTTAAAGTGCATGATTTATTCAAATTATGATTCCTCTTATCTTCCAAATATTAAAGTCTGATGTTAAAAATTTAAATTTGTACAAGCCTAGAATTTGTAACAAAAAATTTAAACATAAAAATAAAACTAAGATATTTTCTTTTAACCACAATTCAAATAAAGTATGTCAATAAAAGTTAAAAAGTAGAAATTTCAACCAACTCTTGAATTTGGTAGTGATTTCATTACCATTTATTACTTTTATTGTCTTAAATGTTAATTCAAAAAGAAAAACAATAAATAATGAAAATGGTGGTGGGAAGATGCTCCTTTTTAATACGGTATGTTACACAAGATAGCGCTACAACACATTTAAGATGACACAAAATTTTTAAGTATAGAAAAAATAGAAACTAAATATAAGGAGGTTTTCTTTCAAAGAGAGAATTTTTCTCAAGGTACATTTATTTATATCTTGTTCTAAAACACAAATTAATGTTTTATGATCATAAAAATAAAAGATTTTTATTTGTAATTGTATGTTTTCAACATCTATCACCTTCATCAACTTCAACTGTTTTTAAACTGATAATTCATAACATTTCTAAGATAGGAAATATCGAAAGGTCTCAATTTAAAAATGTTCAAAGCATCTTTCTCTTGGATATGAAAAGTTTTTGTTTTCAAGAAATAAAAATTTTCAGAAAATAAACCTAACCTAGTTGACTTAAAAAAAAGGAAACTTTTACCATCCAGAAAACCACATAAAGCATATAGTTTAATGATATATTCTAGGGTTATTGGGCTAATATCCTTGCAACTATGACACAGATTGAGAAGTAAAATTTTGCCAGTCACTCCAGAAATTCCTCCACGTGCCCTATTCCAATCTCAATCCCTTATCTATTCACTTAAAGGAACTACTACCTCAACTTTTACAGCAATTACTTCCTTGTATTTCTTTGTAGTTTTAGTGCTCAAGTGTGCATCTCTAGACATCAAAATTTAGTTTTGCACGCCCCTACACTTTTTAATTGATTTGATATATATCTTAGGTCTCTTGGAATCTACACGTTCCCCCTCCATTCCCTTCTCTTCCTTACAATTTATCTGTCAAAGAATCTGGGGGCATTTAACCTAGTTCCACATAGTCTGCATTTTATTGACTGCACACACATAGTGTAGTGTCTCTATGTTTTGTGTATCCCATGCATATTAACAGTTGGATCTAGTGGTTTGATCACTCTCATTCTATCCTGTTGCCAAATAAATTAAAGGGGGAAAAAAAAGCTCAAAATACCTAAGTATAACATGAGCTAAGATAGGAAACAAAATAAGGATGAATAAATCATAAGCTCTCAAAAGCAATTTCAATGGCTGCTTCAGTATTTTAGTTTATTCACCACTGAAGTTCTAAGTTTGATTCTGGATACTATCCTACTATTTGGTCACTCTTTAAGTGTAGATACCCTCAAACTTGGCAAATTGATATGGATGGGAGGCATATATGAAATAAATAAATGAGATCTGAACATAGATGAATGAAGCTCTGGCTTTAGTTCAAGACCAGAATTCCAGTCTTACTCTCCTAATTTATTATTTACTATCTTATTTCCTAACAAAGATTTAGAATATAAGAGCAGGCATTATCATTTCAAGATACTGAGAAATATGCAATACTTTAAATGTATACTGTTCTAATATCTGAAAAATTGTAATACATATAACATTTTATAATTACAGTAATAATATTTCTTCCTTTATAATTTTATTATTCAGAATATTAAAAGTTAAAAAACAAATCCTTGTGAATATCTTACTTGGATTACTCCACTGGGATTCACACTGATCATGGTACAAATCCCACGGAATGCTGAATCCTTTTCCTCATTGTCCCTTATGTTTCTCAGAGAGGTGCACCTATTAAATTACAGAACTGAGTTTAGTGTTGAAGCAAAAAGCAGTTTAAATTAAATTACTAATGGACAGTATTTAATGGAATAAGCACTACAGTATAAATACTGGCTATATTTAAGGAGTTTTCAGAAACTTTAAGTTTCTCATACTTTCTGTATGTTAGGCCCATCCTGTATGTTTCCATATAGTAGGAACAGTGAAATTCACATTTCCTTAATAATAGATTGCATCTATGAAAAGGACGACTGATTTGAATCTATTTACACTATATTAACTATTAACGGTTCTTAGCCATGAGTAAATTATCAAATTCATTTTTAAAACTGTATTATAATTAGTATTCCATTAAACACTACTAAAAATAACTTGAATTGAAAGATTATCAGTTGAAAGAAGCAGAACACAGAATATACTGCCACAATATAAATTATAATACAACTTATGGTGTAGATGTTTAACTTTTACATCAACAAGCAAATAAGATTTTTGTACATAACAAGTTTAAACATGTATTTTTAAATGCAATCCAAGATTTCAAATTAATTCTAAAAAAGAAAGGTAATGCAAAAACCTAAATTTTTAGAGTATTTGCATGCATCTTTATTTTTCTGGTGGATATTTAAATGCTTCTTATGTATAATCAAGCTTTTTAACACAACAAGCATGTGACAATCTTATCCCATGCATCAATTAGTCGTTAGCCACAACATAAAATAAATATACATGACGATGCTACTGAAAAACCTCACAAACCTGATAGGACAAGATTAGTCACATGGTTGGCAATGATTAAGGATTGTGATTTTTGTAACCAACTGAAAATATATCTAAAAGTGAGATAGAAAGAGAAAGAAAGAGTGAAGAAAAATGAATTAAAAAAAAAAGATTGAATAATACACACCAGGGTCTTATAAACTGCTGTAGCATGGGGGCCACCTCTTGAGGACAAACGTAACCAAGACGACCAATTGTTATTGCTAAGGTAACGCAATCACGGTTATACACCACCAAACGCCAACCAAGACATGAGCAAATGAGGGGGAAGGAGAAAAAATAAAGAAAAAACAACAAATAACTCAGAAACAGAAACCAACAGAATTTGTGTATGATAATAAACATAAGATTTCACCAGTGCTGTTTATTACCACCCCCTAAAATAAGGGGCAGCAACATATATGGCATACTCTTGGGGGGGGGGGGAAGGAATTAAAAAAACTTTAAAGATTGAGAGAACACCAAAAACCACGATAAATTTGCTTTTCTTGCCGAATTAAGTGCCAAGGTATCATTGCTAATAAAAAGGTGAGCGACTACACGGATGGATTTAGAGAATCTTCATTCAAAACCAGTCATAATTTCAGAATTTAATAATGAAATCTAAGTTTTTCTCCAAGAAATATCAGTAAATGGGAATAAATTTCTGGTCTACTCAAACATACTTCTTTGTAGTTAAAACAGTTAAATTATTTCTCATTTTCCCACATCTCTTTTTATAATTTAACCCAAATTTTGGTAAAGTTTTTTTCTTTTTGCTGACATTTCCAAAACAAACCAGTGGACCATCTGTTGCCTGATTAAAAAAACCAAATGTCAAATGTTATGTGGTAAATGGTACCCACTGAATGAATGGATTGGAAAATGGTCGTGCTATGTCAAATCCCATTCCAACAAGCCCTTGAGGATGATGATGATAATTCAGATAATAGTCCAGTAATTCCAAACCATATTTGAAAAATAACAAAACTCTAAAAAAGGAAATTTAGACAGTCCACTGTAATAAGACGTGATACGTGGACTAAAGGAAATAATACTCTGTTTTGCTATAAAAGGCATAGCACAAAATAGATGATAAAACATTATATTGTTTACATGCTAATATTTTATTTTTAGAAATTTTAAAGTGGGAATTAATTAAACATGTATATTCACCATCAAAATTCAGGAAATCAAACTTACAACGAGCTAAAACAAGTGCAACTCAGAACTGCATTCTGCAATTCAAAGGTACACACACATAAATACATATATACACAATGGGAAAAAATACAAACAGAAAACAAACCATGAGGAGCTTTAATGGTGTTCTCTCAAAAACCTACAGGTTAACTTTTCATAAAAAAAGGGTGGGGGTGGGGCAAAGAAAAATGTTTAAGGATTACTTGAAGCAAACTACACAGATAATACTAAAATCCAGCAGAATCGTATGAAGCAAGAGAAAGAAAACCTATGCTCAAAAGACACAAACTATGCAACAAACATTCTCATTAAACAGGCAAGTATGAACAATCCAATGAAACATGCGATAAAGCAGATGATGTCCATTTAAGAAGTTCAGTGTAGGATATACTAATTGGAAAAAAAGCAAATAACTGCATACTAAGGAATTGGCTTTATGAGATTTTAAGATAATGGTAATTAAGTTATTGAAATCTACAGATATTAGCTATCAACAATGATTTTATTTTAATAATTAAAAACAAAACAAAAAAATTTCTTTTGGGTAAAAAATAAGGGGAACAACGTTATGAGGCCACTTGTGATAGAAGTAATCCGATGAATCCCAATTGCGTTTCTCAATCATTGTCAATTCAATCCATCATTAACTTGAATGGCATTATCAACTATCTTACCATTTACTTAGGAAATAATTATACTTAAAATATAATCTTATAAATAAAGCCAATTGGTTAAAAGAACTATAACAAATTTACCAGGTGATATCCCACAAGAAACTTTAATATACATTACACTCAACATTTATTTGCAATTATGCATTCACATTTAAAAATAAGTAAGAAGTTTAAGTTCAACACTAATTTCAAAATGGCAAGTGTTTCAAATCTGAATGTCATGTACAGGTACTGCATTCTAAAAAGATAAAAACCTGGTAAGATTTAATAAGCATCCTATGCATAGACTTTTATATTTTTCAGCAAGAAAATCTAAATTCACCTTGTGAAATAAACAGTACCCATACAGTCAAACAGCCAGATAACTGTTTCATAATTAAAAGATTTCCTTCCATACCAATAAATATATCTACTTTTAATCACATTAGGGTAAAATAAACTTTCCATAATTTAAAAACATCAAATTAAAACTTTCTTATTTAAAAAATCTTATTTTAATCTTTGCCCAGAAATTTTGGTAAGACCCTCACTGAGTATGAATGAATCACTGGAATTATCTTAATATATAAAGAAAGGAACATGTTATATTAAAAATAAAATTTAAATCTTTTGTAATCATTATCAGCAGGGAGGATGGAAAGAAAAGGACTCAATCACTCCCAAATGGGTTGTATAGTATGGAAGGTACTCTTTAATATAAACATGCTCTCTATAAACGCAAAAAGAGAAACAAGCCTCCTAAATATAAATCTCCTAAGGTACTGCTAAAGTTTCCCATTTGAAGGAAATTACAGGATGAAATACAATATATATATGCCACATTATTAACCAACTAGCCACTAAACTGCAATCTACTTTTGTCACATTTCTGCAGATTAATAACTAGAATCCACTATAGGGAATATTAAAATACTGGAATAAGAGAGGAAAGTGTTTTTTTGAAAAGTTTCTGCAAGCTAGTTTAGGAATAGAGGTAAAATCACATTTCATTACTGACAATCTAAAATAGCTGTTAATAATAAACTGGGTTTTTAAAGCTAGCTTTGCCTTGGTTCCTCTACGCATCTTAATTTAAAATTAAAAGGCAACTAATTTTCTCTTCACCGTAACAGATCAGTCATATGGTACCTGTATTCTCTAACAACGTCTTTGGCGTGTTGGGTCTGTTAATGATTTCTACAAGCTGGTGCAACACCATAGGGATATAAGGCTGCATCTCTATTCCTAGATCATTCCAAAAAGAGAAAACAAAGAAAAATCTGTATGTTAAAATATCATTGTGATATTGGCAATAACTGTGACATAAGCTATATAAAACTCAATTAAAAAAAAAAGTAACTATGAAAATATAAAGATACCTAAAAATTTTATGCTCTTAAAGGGGAAAAAAATTTCCTACCCATCTGAATGGAGATTTCTCCAATTGCCCATGTGGCATTGTTGCAAACAGAAATGAACTCTGGATTTAGGTTGGTTCCCAATATTGGCATGAAATCAGCTAGGGGAGAAAAAGAAAAAGAAATTTAAATACTATGTAGTAAACTTCTCAATAGCAGTGCGTTGTGCTTTAAAGGAAATCTACTGGGTGAAAACTGAAATCTAGGCAAGAAATAAAAAGTTTTACTATTAAACATCGCAACACAAAATACAAAATTGTAGAAAAACAGGCAACCATATTTTAAAAATGGTGGTGCTGTGGTAAAGAGCGTGGCTGCTAACCAAAAGGTCAGCAGTTTGAATCCACCAGCTACTCCTTGGAAACCCTAGAGGCAGTTCTACTCTGTCCCATAGGGTTGGTATGAGTCAGAATCAACTCGACGGCAACAGGTTTTGGTTTTTTTGGTATATTTAAAAACATTACTTAAAGGCATGGGCAATCAATATCTGGCCACTGAACTTTTGTATGAAGCAAACAAAGCAAACATAAATTTTGGTATATTTTAGGTATCATTACAAAGCGTTGGTCAGAATAATCTCTCTTTCCATTAGACTGAGAAAATTCAAAATAAAACCAGTAAAAAACTAACAAAATATAATGAGATTTTCTTTAAAGCTGGGTTTTCATAATTAAAAGATTAATACATTTGGCTTCTGAAGTAACTTTTACCTGAATGCTCAGATTGTAGTTTCTAAATATCATTTTCCACTGAAAGGAATGAGGGTTCTCAGAGAAATGCCTGATTGTATTTCTGGCGTAAGGTTAGAAAGTGTGCAGAACAAGCCTGGACTATCTTGTCATGCTAAACGGACCTAGGAATCCACTTGATTACGCTCCCACTGCCAGTGGGAAGGCATTTTGAGTATTATGTACTCACACTGATTCTCAAAAAATAAAAACTGAAACTCAGAAATCCAATAGATACCTTTGAAGGATGTCAGGAATCAATCTGTTATTTTAAAAACTGGTAATTAAAAGAGAGAGAATCAAGTAATTATCCTCCTCTATGATTTGTACCTCACAGCAACAATTTGATACAGGAAGTGTCTTTTTATACAAATATTCTCATAATTAAATGAAGAATTAGAGTATTATCATTTTTTTACACTAATAAATTAATGGACCAACGCCAGGATTTCTCAACCCTGGCACTACTGACAGTTCGGGTCACAGAATTCTTTGTTATAGAGGTCTGTCTTGTACACTGTAGAACGTGTAGCAGTATTCTTGATCTCTACCCACTAGATACCAGTAGCAATCCCCCAGCATCAACAAAAACATCTGCAAATGCCTGCTGATGGGTAATATCACCCCTGGCTGAGACCTGCTAATTCAGGAAATGATCATGATTGATAACATAAAGTAAAAAAAAAATTTAAAAAGGGGAAAAACCAGACACTGTGTATCTCCTAAAGAAGTAAACAACACCATTTATACATATATTTTTAAACCTGGATCTCATTTAACTCTCAGTCTCTAAAATCTAGCTATCAATTTATAAGGAATATAAGGGACAGAGGAGCATGCTAAATGACACCAGAGAGATGCAATTAGCAAAATCCAGACTGTGAATGAAACTCTTTATGACAAACAACAACAACAAAACAACATTAAGGCAGAGACAGGTATTAAAATATTAAGCGTTGAAATGACATGTGCCTGAGATTTGTTCCAAACTATCCTATCTGGGGTCTTTGCATGGATGGTGGTGTATGTGAAAACAAGACTGGACATGTATTGATAACTCCTGAAGCTGGGTAGAGAGCTCATTATACTATTTTTCCACTTTTGTTTAAAAATTTTTTTTTATAATTAAAAGATTAAGAAAAAAACTAGTGAAATTCTCTTCTATCCAAGTTTAAACTCATAAAAACTAAATTAAGTGGTAAATAATTGCATGAGTATGACAAAACCAAAACCAAACCCACTGTCGTCGAGTCAATTCCAACTCACAGCAACCTTATGAGTCGATGACTATGACAAGGTTCCCTTAATACGAGAATTCATTACACTTTTAGTAGGAAAGAGCTAGATGAGTAATTAGGCTTAAATTTGATGGTTCTAAACTCAACACAATTAGTGATACTACTCAAAGTTCAGAAATACAGTTATTAAAAGCACAAGTGTATCAAATGAAAAAACTACTTAGGTCAATGTTTTCAAATCAGAATTTAAATTATGTATTACAAATAATCGTCATCCTGTACTTTGGGATACACAGAAAGGAGGAGGAGGAAAAAAAGACAACTCTAATTTAATCAATGAATTTGATATCAATACAGGTTACATTATTTAAGAAAATCCCTTATCTTCACAAAGGACATGATAAATGCTACCCTATTAAAATAGAAACAAATCATTGTTTACTTTTAACATGATACTCATTTGAAAAGCTTCCTAAGATATCTGTACAGTTATGCTGGTTTATCAGAGAAGAAAAGTTGATTCTTATCCTGGGTACCTCTATCAAAAAAAGAAGCTAATAAAAAAAATACCTATGAACTAGCACATAATACACCAAGGCTTCAGTGGTGGGCATATCCTTTACTCTAAAGCTGTCTTTTCAAACTTTCCCCCAGTCACAGGAGTGCCTAAAGAGCTGCTGAAGTGATGGTGAGCTAATGGGAATAAGGCACAGGTGTTCCCAATCTGCCTGCTTCAATCGAGGCAGCTTTACTTTAACCAGTAAAATATGCAATTATAAATGCTGAGATTCTGTACGATTTCAGCTTAACAGCAGAAAACACAGCCCATGTAAAAAATAATGTTAAAAATCTTATCCATAGTAGAAAATATTCATACCTATACAAGGCTTAACATGCTGAAAGCAAGCTTTTGTCAAGTCACCTAACAGGGCAAAGGAACTCTGTCGAACTTCTGGCATTTTATCCTGCAAGAAATGAAAAGAAATTACTCTCAATGTGACAGACAAAGAACCAGGTTTCAACTAATTTTAATTTAACAAATCTCACCTGCATGCATTGATACATTAGTGTTAGAATGTTACTCCGCGCTACTAGCTGTTCAATGCTGCCTCCAAGTCCTTCAGCCAGGCCACTGAGTAAATCAAGAGCCACTATCATAAAATCTTTATCTGGAGCCTCATATTGATCTGGCTGAGCATTGTTCAGCTGAAAACAGAGAGTTTTTTTTTTAAAAGGATACTTTAAATCAATTACTAAAAAAGTTTGTATACACTATGCCTATCCCCAAAAAAATGTTTATAATGCTAAAAGAGAAAGATACACATATATATAAAAAAATACCATGGCTTGTGCAAGAGTCTTCTGCACTAGGTTAACACAACGTTGATATACAGGTTCACAGTATGGAAGGAAGCCAGACTGCAGGGCTGTGGCAACTGAAGATAGGCACTAGAAGGAATAAAGTAAACGTGCTAAATTTTCTAGGTATATTTGATTATGATAAAACTTGAAACTGTACTCAGTAAGATCCTGTCATTTATGAGCCTGCTCTACTACTCCACAGAAGGTTCATCTTTTCAAACCTCTCCTCTGGATGCCACTCACTGCTGTTAGTCTGCCAGCCAGTTAAAGAGAGGTTTACTCAGATAAAAATGTAAAAAAGTTCCTATAATTAAAGGACAGATTTGAAGTATTAATGTGTGTTCCTATTTTTTTCTCAAATTTAAGATACAGTCATTTATGCTCCCATCCCGGTCAACGATGTGGGCCGACTTTACTGGGCAAGTTCTCAGCCCCTGCATGAAAACAATACATCTAAAGAGACATTATGAGCCCTTTTATTTTGTTGGGCCCAGAATTAGTCACTGCTGTTGGCCACAGAAGTTTTTACTTCTCTGGTTAAGGACAATAACTAGCGGAAGTTGGTGACCCTTGAAATGACAAAGGGAACAAGAATGACGGTGACTGGACTGACTCTAGCAATGTCAATCTAAAACATTTCAGTGCATTCAGTCACTTGAAGATCACATAAGATGTCTTTCTGGTTAAAAAAAGTAACATGTACACATGAAAAAACTTCAAACTAGACCTCTTTTCTAGCATCAAACCCCAATCCTGTTTCACATATATGTGTAGGAATTTATATATATATACAATAGACAACATATAATAGAATTATACTATGTATGTTAATTATGGTATAGCAATATTTCTATATAAAAAAACACTGTTGAATTAAGATATCTGTATGCTGATATGGAAAGCTCTCCAAGATATATTTATTATCAATTAACCAGAGTAAGCTAGGAAATAGCATGCATCATATGATCATTTGTCTAGTTTTAAAAAAAAGCTTAACATGTTCATCATACTTTTTCTTTGTATAGATGTACCATGATTAATGAGAAGTTACATATTTATTTAGCATTTCAACAGAAATGGTTCAGCACATAAATTATGTAACTGATTAACACTTTATCACATACCTATTTTAGATTAGAATGTATGTTTCTAGTGAAACACTTAAGATTAAATGTTACCAACTTAGCATACCTCAAGTAAAGGAAAGAGATCTTTATCTTCGTCCTTTAACATGTTCCATTTCTGGATCAGTGGAGGCATTAGCATCTGAATATATTCCTATTTACAATGATGAAAAACACATAAGGCTCCACTATTATATGTAAACAAGTCCATTTTGAGTCTATGAAAATTAAAACCCATTTAGAGTAATTGTGTAAAAATCACTACAGAATGATGTTCACTAAGACTCATTCTCAGCTCTACTTTGTCCCTTTAAAACTTTTCCTTTTACCTACTTTTTCTTTATACAGCCTTATTCTATTTTTAAGTAATCTTATGTATGTCCTTTTGGAAACAAAACATATATAAATACATCACTACATAAAAATGAAGGAGCCCTGGTTGCACAATGGTTTAGCACTGGGCTCCTAACCAAAAGGTTGGCGGGTCAAACACATCAGCAGTTTTGTGGAAGATCTGGTGATCTGCTCCCATGAAGACTACAGACTAGGAAACCCCATGGAGCAGTGCTACTGTGTCAAAAAGGGTTGAGCTATACGGTTGCCATGAGTCAGAATCAATCTGATAGCACACAACATAAAAGTGTATTACTTGTTAAATCACAATCAAGGATGAAGCTGTACTTCCTTTGTATAGTTCTACTCCAATGAGAATCGTTCTTTTAGTCCTCTCACATGTAATAAGACCTCTGTTTACAGTACTTCATAAATTGACAGGTAAACTTATATTGAAACAGATGTTATGAAATAAAACAAGACATTTGTTTGCACATACAAACAAAGAGATTCGTATCATTTAAGTATCCTGACTTAAACTGCAGAATCATCCCTAACATCAAGTTAACTTGTGCAGCAATCATTTAAACAACAGGCACAGATTCTAAAGGGTCTTCAGAAAATAAAGCAAAAAAACCCAAAACAAAATAATAATAAAAAACCAATACCAAACAAATCCATAAACTAAGTGTCCCCTGCACCTCTAAACAAGCATAACTTAAAAACTTTTTCTCTAGTGTTTATGAAATGGTACATATGAAGATACTAGGAATTAAATAAAAACAGAAGCCAAGAGTTTAAAGACCTTTTTGCCCCATTTCTTTTAGTCACTCTTTTATTTTCATGAAAAGTGTTGGTGTGTTCATAAGAGATGCTGGTGTAATCTACACAACTACTTATTTTTTAAATAATACTTATAAAGGTGAATGACTTAACACCTTTGTATGATCTATATTCTTAAAGTACCAAGTACCATCCCTAAAACATTTTGTTTATTGTAGTTTAAATGAAGTTTACATTTCAAGTCTCCCATACAAAAATTTATACACGCATTGTTACGTGACCCTAATTGCTCTCTGAATACTATGACAGCACACTCCTCCTTTCCACCCGATTCCCCATGTCCATTCAACCAGCTAATTAATTTTGAAGTATGTGTTAACGTACTGATTACAGTAGCTACATATTTTTTTCGTAATAGTTAATAACAGATACTTACTGGTTTGTTTAAATGATGTCCTACTGAATCTGCTAATGTTCCTATGGCATCGTAAAGAATGAGCAGGTTCTTATGCTGGTATTTACTAAATGCGAAGACCAGGGTATCAAGTATATAAGCAAGGTAAGGAACAAGTTCTGTACAAGCCTCCTCTTCTAGAGTAGCAAAGGCACTATAATTTTTTAAAAAAGAAAATGAATATTTAATGTTGTATAAAAGGAACAGTTTATAACAGAGACAGGAAACTAATTCTCTACAGAATTTATACTTTACATGCCTACCTCCCTGCATCACCACACCAGATGCTTATTTTTATTATTTCTCACCTATCTTTATCACTACTTCTTCCCTTCCAAGAAGCTGTCACTTATGGTTATCATCTACTTAACTACATGATAAAACCTAAGACAAATATCGGCAGTCCTTTAGATTTATTCAGTCAATAAATTTATTTGGTGTGTACTATTTATTCAGTCAGAATGCTGGGAATATAGCAATTAACAAAACAAAGTTCTCATTATCAGGGAGATTACATTGTAGTAACTGCTCTAGATTACTGAAAACAGAATTAAAACTGTTAGGCTCTAATTTACATTCCACCCTTCACATGCCCATTAGTAGTTATGAAATGGTAGAAACATTTTGAGCAATTAGTGTTTGAGACTTACAAGCACCCAGCAGTATTACTATCCCTCAAATGTTTCTCTAAGCCTTACACTGCATTATTTCAAATTTGCCTTATGTATGGCTCGTCTATCAGGAGAAATATATAAGAAAGGAAAATATCCAGAGTCTCGGTGCAATTAGTTTGAATTTGAGATCTAAATTGGACTATAACACATATCCAGCTCTTAATTTCTAAAACGTCTGTGTATCTTCTGTTCTACTCAATCAGGAATTTCCTAAAATAACAGGCTTAAGCCATTTGTTAATGGAAGTCTTATTATTCATTAGCACTGTGAATTATTTATTCATTTCCTCCACAGTACTTGCCATACATTATAATTAAGCCTAATCTCATTATTGGCAGTAGTTACATTGTATAAAATCTGCAAATTACAAACTATAGAACCGGCCTTATTTTACCTGAGCTGGGAATTTTTCTGGAATCTGCGCTTCCACATGTCTGTATTTTTAGTGAACCAGTGAATTTGCAAATAATGAGGAACAACTGTAAGTTGTTTGGTATCCCCTACTAGCCTGTAAAAGGAGCCCTGGTGACACAATGATTAAGCGCTCAACTGCTCAAACTCACCAGTGGCTCACAGGAGGAAAGACCTGGGGATTTGCTACCGTAAAGATTTCAGCCTCAGAAACCCTATGGAGCAGTTCTACTCTGTCCTATAGGGTTGTTATGAGTTGGAATCGACTCGATGGCACACAAACCGCTAGCCTGTAAAATCTAAGATGGCAGGGACTACAAGTCCAGCACCTAGTAAGTAGCATCTGTTTAACAATCGAGAGCTCAAAAATTTTGTTGAATGAATAAACACACCAAAGAAACCCAAACATAACCTGTATCCTCTCTCCCCCCAACTTTAAAAAAAAAATTTAGTGTTGCTAATCACTGACTTTATTTCATCCCATTAAGAAATAGAATTCTAGATGTTATTGTTCCAGACATGGTAAAATCTAACTCAACTTAAATTTAGTTTCCTCTTTTCAACAGATTTTTCTTCCTACTAACAAAGTTAATAAAAAAAAGCAATTCTATTTGAAGAAATAAGAGCTATAAACATAATCAACAGGGCCTTTTTATAACATAAACGTTTGTCCTAGGAAACTGGAATATGTGTAAGTAATGAAACTAACTACTGGGCTGATATAAAAACAGAGAAAGCCCTAAGCCCAACCAATAGTCAACTACTAGAACAGATTCACTAAGAACCTGAGGACCACAGTTGATAAATGACAAATCAGAGTCACTGTGGGACTTCCTGTGGAGTTATGGTAGTTGACTAAGGAACTGCTCAAACTTTGTTACTCCTTTTAGAGTGGGATTTAGTGTAAAAGATGATTCTACTGCTATCACAGCCACTGAGTGGGAAAAACTGAGTTGAGGAAGAAACTGTAAAAACTGATGTCTAGTAGTTACACTGGGTTTACAAAATCATCAGGTGAAAGCTGCAGATGGTAAAACTATTCTGGCCAAACACAATGGGTAAAATATGCTACTCTGCAAACCCAAGAGCAACAATCAGTACCTCAAAAACTCCACCAGGAAGAAAAAAGCAAGGAAAACTAAATTTTCTGACACAGTTGGAAAACTTCAATACGAAATACTCCATTAATGGTTTGATATAAACATCCACCACAAAGCTGAAAATTAAGTTTCCCACTAATTACCCACTCCCTTCCCCCACAATGAACATTCTGTTACGGATTTGTCCTACCTGCAGGCAGCTTCCTGTACTCTCTTGTTGCTATCCAGGATACGCTTTAGCAATTCTGTCATTAATGGCTTCAGGTACGTGTCTGGGGGCTGGCTGACTACCCAGTGTGCATAGCGGCTAAGAGTCCAGCATGTTATGGAACGCACAAGAGCCTTTTTATCAGAGAGGCACTGAATAAGGTGAGGAATGAGTTCAGGCAGGTATGGAATCATGCCCTGCATGCAACCTAGAAAAAAAAACACGAATCTTTCAAGAAATGCTAAAATTTGGTTAAAACAAAATTATTTCAGTTGAATACTAAACTGACATACGTACCATGAAAAACATTCAGATCATTTCCTTTGGAATAAATATCACTAATAATCTGCTTTAAATTTATAAAATAAATGAAATTAGAACTAATTGCTCCTAGGTATCTTCCAGTTGGGTAAGGACCTCACTCTACCTCTATTACACAAATTTATGGTTCTCAGTAATACCTGTAAAATATTTCAATTTCTTGTAGATTGAGAATGTTTACAGGAATGTTTAACAGGAGAGAACCAACACTAATACTTTATAGAAAAAGGAGACGCTCTTACCTTATCAAGTTTCCGAGACTTATCTGAGGAACCTAAATTATTTTTCTAGAAAGAGGGATGCTTTGGACAGAGTTCTCTTACTCTGTTCATTTTATGATAACAGAAAGCATTTGCAAAATATCTGGCTGGGGTTAGAAGTATGCCCATGGTTGTTTAAGAACTAATTCAAAGTAGAAATTCATCCTAAGATGACTTTTGGATTCAAATATTTCTTATAAGCTTAATGTGAATCACAGTCTTGTCTACCCTACACCACCATCAAAAGAAAGAAAACACTATGTGAATTCAACAGTGAAAAGTCTTCACTTACAAAGTAACAATCCCTTAAAAAGCACCCAAGTCTTAGTGACAATTAAGGAAGGACTTTACAATTCAAACTTGATTTAGACTTACCTTCAGCAATTGCTCCTAAAACCAAGATGCCTGATTCTTTAACAACCCATTCATGATGAAAAAGTAATTCTTTCAAAAGGGGCAAAATATGTGGCAAAAGTTCATCACGATACACATTTGCAAGTACATCTAGGGCAGCAGCAGAACATTTTCCTAAGGAAATATTTAATTCAAAAATATTACATTAACATTACTACTTAGTTACATGTACTAAAAAATGAGTATTTATTCCATGTATAACACTTTATTTGATCTCTACAGAGTTTCGATGTAAGAACTCAAAGAGGAGGTCAGTAATGTTCTATTGAAAACGGTATTTATTTAGTGCCTTACGAGTCAGAAAACTGGGGATACTACTACCTTTGACCCTACCACTTTACTCTATGATCCTGAGCAAATCGCAACCCTAAGAACAAGCTTCCTTTCCTAATAAATAGGTGTTCATTTATTTATCTATAAAAATTACCTACAGAGCATCTGAGTTTACAAGCATCACTGAGATTTAGAGATTCTAATATGAAGAAAGCTCACAGTGTTCTGAAGGATACAAGATTCAAAACCAAAAAGAACCATAATCAAATATAACACATACAGTGACATGTAAAGAATTACTGCAACACAGTATGATTAAAAAGTAGGCAACGCCTGCTCTATCCCACCCACCACAAATAGTTATGGGGATTAAACCACAACAAAATGTTCCTCCCAAAAACGTATGGCTGGCGTGCTATTAGTAAACGAGATGATTTTTGGCATTTGAAAGATGAACCTTTGTAAGTAGCCATAATTGTAGGTAGGAATAACAGTAATTGTTGGTTACGAAGTTAACAAAAATTTTCTCCTACATGAGAATTTAACTTTCAAATAACTAGCTCTATTCTTTCTGGTAACTTGATAAAGATGGTATGTGTTAATTACGCTACTAAGCAACAATGTTCATGATAAAAACAACTTGGGCTTGATGTATTACATCTGGATTGAGAATTCTATGTCTGAACTTTAAATACCTGATGAGATAACCACACTCTGAGCTTACCTGAGTAAAGTAACTATCACTGGCTATGTCTCCTGCAGGGCTCTTGTAAGCATTTATAAAATTCGGCTCCTAAGAGATATAAGGCTTTTAAGCTCCCATATTTGTATAACATGATCTTGATGCTGAGGAACCTAGGCCCCCAGTTATATGAACTGCTGTGTGGACAGCTGCAAGGATTCTTTCAGAAGACAAAGGCTTGATGCTGTCCAGACAGTAAGTTATGATTCTGTCCTATATTCTTCTGAGTAAACTAGTGACAAATGTAGCTTATGACGGTCCTGAGTGTAAATGTTTAGTTTACCAGTTCTCATAGTGTGGTCCATGGATGACTCCTGGTGGGGGGTCACATGAGACTCTTTCAGGGGGTCAACAAGGCCAAAATTACTTTAATAATAATAATGCTCAGATGCTCTTTTTCCATCATGACCACCTTTGACTAATAGCACAAAAGCAATAGTGGGTAAAACCGCTGGCACCTTAGCACAAATAAGGCAGTGGCAACCAAATTATACTAGTCATTGTATTCTTCACTGCCACATACCCATCTTTTAAAAAAAACCTGTTTCACTTAAAAATGCCCTTGCTAAAGCAGTACAAAATTGCTTTTATTAAATATCTTCCATAAGGGAACGTCTTTTTTAGTATGGTGATACAAAATGGAAAGTGCGCATAAAGTATTTCTGTCACATACAGAAGTATGGTGGTTATCTTGAGGAAAAGCACTGTACAACTGTTTTGAGTTGCAAGCTGAACTTGTTGCTTTTTTCCACAAACACTATTTTTACTAGCAAGAACGAGTGACATAATAGCTACTCAGACCTGAGAATCTGAAAAAGAATGAAGTGAACCTGTTATTTCAAAGAAAACACCTGACATTATTTGCCATCTATGATAAATTCAAGCTTTTAAGTGAAAATTAGAATTCTGAAAAACTTGTATCTGCCACTGTAAGCTTCACAGCTTCCCAATACTTTTCTAATGAGATAGGTGGTGATAAGAACTATCTAGCTCAGGGAACCATTATTTTCCAAATGACCAATGCATAATGATACGTAATCATACATGGATAAAAAAATCCATTCAAAATGGAAGGCAAATAGATTTTAATTTAATGGAGTACAAAAAGGTCGCTGAGTGGCTGCAGGACCTAGTTTTTAATGATAGATTATCAGATATGACAACAAAAGCACACGCAGCAAAAGGCAAAACAGAAAATGGGACCTCATAAGAACTAAACACTATCGTTCATCAAAGGACTGTATCAGCAAAGTGAAGTGACAACCTACAGACCGGAAGAAAATTATCAGGAATCATGTTATCAGTAAGGGTCTAATATCCAAAATATGTAGAATACTTCTACAACTTAACAGTAAAAAGACAACCCAGTAAAAAAAAATGGGCAAAGGACATGTCACCAAAGAGGATGTTTAAATGGTCAGCAAGCACATGAAAAGATGCTCACCATCATTAGCCTTTAGATAGATACAAACCAAAACTACAATGAGATACCACCTCACTCCCATTAGAATGGCAACTGAAAAAAAAAAAAAAGAAAAGAAAACAATAGGTATTGGCAAGGTTGTGGACAAACCGGAACCCTCATCCATTCATTGCTGGTGGGAATGTAAAATGGTACTGCTACTATGCTGGTGGTTCAAAAAGTTGAACATAGAACTACCATGACCTAGCAGTCTAAGAAGATGCTCATAGTGGGTGCTGCAGTAATTTTAAAATATATTAAGAAAAAAAATTAGAGTAGCACATCAAACTCATGATTTCACTGAAAGTATTATTTGCGATGAGGCTAAATAGCTAAACAAAAAGAAATGAATCAAACAAAGAATAACCTCAAAAAAATATATGAATATGGCAAAATTGTAATAATGATACAAAATTAGCTAAAGATTGCAAAGAGTATTTATTGTTTCATTTCAAAGCACTAAGACATAATTTAGAGGCAGTCTACTACATGAAAAAAACTTCTACTACCATGACTATGTTTTCTACAACAAACTATAAAAGCATTTAATTCTGTACATGACTGCCATACTAGAATTGTTTATATAGAAAAATTAAAACACTATTCCCATGTTTTCAGAATATGAAGGCCACCGTTAAAATCCCCTAGCAAAATGTGCACATTTATTAGTTTTACTTGACATTTCTAGTGATAGATCATTTAGAATCAAATATATAGTGATTTAGTTGGAGGTTAGACAAATAATTGGAACAAAAGTCACCAGCACATGATGCATAAAACACAAGGAAAAATATTCTTTACAAAGAGACTATTAACTATAGGACTATAATAAATCAACTCTGATTTTATTTAACATAGTAATCTAGAAAAGAACAACAAAAATGTAATTTTAAGTACTAAAGTTTTTCCCAGTGTCAATTAGGCATACTAAATGGTAATAACAAACTACTAGACAATGGTAAAACCTTAAAAAAAATGCTGTTGAACTGGTCCAAAGTAACACCATACACCATCAAAGGACTTAGTTACAGATATACAACTAAATATTATACTGCCAAGAAACCTACATGTACTGATACAGAATGAGGTAAATGATATATGAAAAAGAACCCCAAGAGTTGGAATTTCAGCCTCCCCTCCAAAGAAGATGTATGTGCATGTGTTTCTGTACACGGAAGGATATAAAGATGAGAGGGATGTAAACAGGAAGTGTTTTGTTTTGTTTTTTTTTTTAAAAATGTGTATTATTACTTTCATAGTTTATCTACAATACAACCTTAACCCATCCTGTCCACTACCCTGAAAGTAAGGATATAACAGGAGGTTATCTGTGATAGTAATGAAGACCTTGGGCTGTCTCATGAGTTAGACCTGGGTTCCAGTACTGAATGCGTCACCCGTACTAGCTATACTAACCTTGGTTAGGTTTCTCGTTCTGCAGTTTTCTTACTCACCTAAGGTTGTTGTAAAGATTAAATGTGATAATGCATGCAAAGTCCATGGCCTAGTGCGTGGCACATTAGGCACTCTAAATGAATGAGAGTTATAGGAAACTACTTGGGCAACAAAGGAATTAGCACTTTCTAACCCAATAGACGACACAACCCAGACTGATGATACGTCCATTTCATCAGCTGTTAGAAATCCCAACACTCTTTGAACTAGAGCAGTGGTTCTCAACAGGGGGCAATTTGCCTCCCCAAGGGACATCTGGCAATGTCTGGAGACATTTTTGAATATAAGCAACTGTGTGTGTGGTGTGTGTGGTGTGTGTGCATGTGTGTAGGGGAGTGCTACTGGCATTTACTAGGTAGAGGCCGGGGATGCTGCTCAACAACCTACAATGTACAGCCCTCACAACAAAGAATTATCTGACTCGAAATGTCAATATAGAGTCAAGGTTAAGAAACCCTGAACAAAAGCACTGGAGCTTTAAAAACTAGCAAGCAAGCAAGAACAAAACACAGATGTCCAGGCTCCTCCCCAGTTATTCAATTACAGTGTGGGGCAGAATGCTGGCTCCACAAGTGATAAGGATTTACAGTTAAAGATGAACACCAAGAGATTTTAAGAGGCATATTTTTAAAAGTTTTGAATATGACAAAATAGTTCATTTATTATTTTTAGAATGATCCATGATAAATCAGTCAATTCTCATGCAAATTATCACAGAAAATCAGTTTACATTAGGGAAACAAATAGCGTATTTTATAGTACCAGATAAAATACATAGTCTTTTGAGCAATGTTTTTTTTTTTTTAAAATATTTTATTATGCTTTAGGTTAAACTTTACAGAGCATATTAGTTTCCCATTCAATAATTCATACACAAGCTGTTTTGTGACATTGACTGCAATCCCTGCAGTGTGTCAGCCCTCTTCCCCTTTCAATCCCGGGTTCCCTTCCCATTCATCCGGTTTTCCTGCCCTCTCATCTTTGCTTGTGGGCAGATGTTGTCCATTTGGTCTGTATACTTGATTGTTCTAAGGAGCACATTCCTCATGGGTGTTACTGTTTGTTTTACAGACCTGTCTAATATTTGGCTGAAAGCTGAACTTTGGGAGGGGCTTCACAGTTCTGAGTTAGAAGCGGGTCTAGAGGCCATAGTCTCAAGAGTTCTTCCAGTTTCTGTCAGACCAGTAAGCCTGGTCTTTTGTGAATTTGAATTTTGTTCTACGTTTTTCTTCTGTTCTGTCTAGGACCCTATATTGTGATCCCAGTCAGAGTGGTCAAGTTTGAGTTATTTTTAAGGAATATTATGATGACTAAATATAAGAGCAGGTCCATTAGGGAAATACAAATCAAAACAAGATACTACTTCATAGCCACTAGTTACTTGGCTATTAAAAAAAAAGAAAAGAAAAGATAGTAACAAGTGTTGGAGAGCATATAAGAGAAAATGGAACCCTTGTGTACTGCTGGTGGGAAGGTCAAATGGTGCAGCCACTTTGGAAAACAGCCTGGCAGTTCCTCAAAAGACTGAACATA